GCATCTGAATTCTGGGGTTGGTCGGACGTGACCGAGGGAAATGGCGGTGGATCCACACAGCTGTGGATCTGCTCTCCGGTCCACCCAGCCAGTTTTCTCCAGAAGCCCTTTGTCCCGTAAGATGCCAGGCTTTCCTTTAAAGTTGGAGCAGAACACCCCTTTCCATGCAAGGTCCTGAGGTGCTCTCTGAACACCTGATCAAGGCATCCCTCCCTCCTTAATTCCTCTCTATCCTCTCCCCCAGTTTTATTTCCTTTGTGACACTCATCATCTCTGAAATCCCCTTGCTGGTGTGTTCACTACTGTTCATGGTCTGCGTCTCCACAGTGGCCTGTAAGTCCCGGGGACTCCTGAGTCCACAGTCAGATCTGGTACCACATAGGTCTGTGGAAGGAACAGGTAGTACCTTCTGACACCAAGGGCTGCAATTTCCCTTATCTGGATGTCCTCTTTCCAAAGGGCTATAGATGTCCTGTGGGGGCCCAGCAGGCCATGAGTAACCTGCACATGTTTAGTAAGTGAACCTGAGCTTCCAGCTCTTGTTATAGGGCTGCATTTCAAGAAAAGTGCTACTGTACCTTGACCTTCACCTTAGAATTCAGTTTGCCCCACAGAGGAGGAATAACAAAACCTGTTGGCCTCAAAAGGTGCCAGGGGACATGAGAAAGAAGGGTTGAAAGTTAGCAGGTCAGAGAGTGGTGTAATTTGTTAAAGACATCCCTGACCCCACTGTGGTTCCCAAGTTCATGAGGCAGCTGTTGCTACAGATATAAACTGAGCCCTGCGAGATGGGGGAGGGGACTTGCCCAAGGTGACCTGCTGGAGAGCAGCAGACCCAAATGAGAGCCTCTCTGTGGAGATGGCACACAGTAGGTGCCCTATAAATGTAACAAAAGAACGAAGGCAAAAACATAGTGACCCAGGATCCCCCCCCCAGTCCCATTCTAATACTCCTTGCATCTTATCACCTCTGAAATTTTCCATCCTGGGATGGCTCAAAATCTGCTTTGCATTTAAGAAACACTTGCAAAAGATTAACCATTGTCTGGAAAGAGCATGAGGTTCTATCGGTCCCCAAATCCTGTTGATAGGTGCCATTTATCAGCTATAGGAGGACATGAGAACACCTCAGATGACCTTTATTTAATGCAGCCTTCACTCCAGAGCAGAAAAACTATCTCTTACAAACACGAAGAAACTACAGTATTTATTCTTTGTGTTTTTGAAGTGTTTCAAAACCAAAACTTAGGAAAACACATGAATCTTGCCAAGATGTATTTAACTCCTCTTCCCTTTCCTTCCACTGCCCTGGCCCACTTCCCAAAGGACTAGAAAAAGAAAAAAAAAAAAAGGCAGAATTCACCAGGTTTAAATTATCTGATACTTTAATTAAGGAAGAATAAATGGGTCACCACTGTCGGCTTAGAAATGCAGCTTCATGGAATTGGTATCCCTTTTTCAATAAACCTGATCACCATGGTGAGACTCTCCTGGAGCTGCATAACGACAGAAGCAAAAATCTTTGGCAGCTCTGGATCAAGGTCACTCTGAAAATCGATGGCAGTACTAGCATCAGCCCTGGGAATCCTTGACTCTGGTAATTCTGTCCCAGCTGGTATCCAGGCTGCCTCCCACCAGGAAACCTCGGCCAGCTGGCAGGTAATTATATGTGCTAATAGTCACTGACACTCCGGCCCTGACACCATGTTCCAGGTTCCTGCATTTGTTAGAATGCCAGACTGCCCTCACCTTTCTAGGGCTGTTTATTTCGAGAGGGAAGCTCTGCTCTGATTGATTTGGACCTAGGTGCCCACATGGAAACATTTAAGATGAAATCTGGGACAGAAGAGAGATAAGGAGACTGTATTTTCATTTCATTTGCCAAGTTCTAGATCCATTCTGCCTCACAGCAGCTATGTGACCTTGGACATGTCCCACAACCTCAGTGAGCCTCAGCCTTCTCATCTGTAAAATGGGATGATAAAGCTTGCCTTGCACATTTCAGAGACAGCTACGTGTAACTGTTGGTGTAAGGTCCCTGTTGTCTATTTGTTGGATGTCTGAACCAACCAAACTTCTTTGATCCTGTTACCTTATTTGGATGTCTGAACCAACCAAACTTCTTTGATCCTGTTACCTACAAAATGGAGGCAGTAATTCCTACTTCATATCACATTAAATGAGATTGGGAAATGATGTACAGATGTGTCTATCTGTTGATTAGACTGGAAATAAGTACTTGTTTTAAAAGACCTCGTTTATCCTTTCACGTACTGAGCTTTTCCTAGTTACTGGAACTTGTAAGTTTTATACTTATTATTTAGGAAAGCTAACTGCATATTCTATTTTAGGTTCCTCTTTGAAGATGACTTCCAAATTTGATGAACATTTAGCTGGAACAATCAATTAGTATATTTTCTCTACACAAACCATCATTCAGGAGACAAATGAATTGAGAATAAAGAGGCAAGTGACTAAAATAGCCCAAAGACTCAAGTGCAACTGACTCCCTCTGCTCCCCTGTGTGTCTGGCCTACGGACACATCACGTTCATATCCCGAATGCCGGGGCAGAGGCTTCAAATTGGACAGATGCTGAAACTGAAATCCTTGGTGTGACTGTCAGAATGACACACACGGGGTCACCAGACCATGCAGGAAAATCTCTGTGCTAGAGGAAGGGCGCAGAGCTAGACAGTGGTCCCCAAGGCTCACCTTCAGTCTATGGGCTTCTGAAAAGGATGGTTATTAGCATTCTTTGGGAGGGTGCGTCTAGATTTAGGAACAGGGACCAGAAAAATATACATGCTAATCACTGTGCATATCCAGGTTTGAGATCGGGCTTACAACTCTCACTGTTTATGTCAGTGGTTCTCAACCTTCCTAATGCTGTGGCCCTTTAATACAGTTCCTGTGGGTGGTGACCCACAGGCTGAGAACTGCTGCTCTATGTGATGTTGGGAGAGTTGCCTGATCTTGGTGAATCTTGATTTCCTCCTCTGTAAAATGGGGCAGCACTACTTTTCTGGATAACAGTATTCATATTGCTATAAAGCAACACCTAAGTAGGAGGCTCCATTATTACTCCAAGGATAGTAGAGACTTGGGGATTCTAGCTAAAAATAACCACTTTGCGGGCCTTTATCTCCTCCTTGTGGGCACTGTTTGTATAGATGCTTCATGTTCACAACCCCACTTTGTGCTCACACCAGTCTCTGAGGGGGGCTGCTATTAGAAGTTTCATGTTATTCCTGGGAAAACCAAGGCCCAGGGAGGTTACCTAGCTTGCCCAAGGTTGCCCAGCCAGTTAACTAACCATGATGGGATGTGGAACCCCGGCGATGGGAACTGTGAAGCTGTGGGGTTTCCCCGGGGTCTGGCAAACAAGGAACACTTTGTCAGTCAGCATGAAGAAAACAGCTTACCTTCTCCACCACCCAGCAGTCCCAGGCTTACTGCAACAAGGAGCGCAGGAGCTGCAAAGGCATCCCGGGTTGGAGCTGGGGACAGTGAGCAGGAGTGGTGCTAGTGAGCCTGCGGGTAGGGAGTCCCCCCTAGGAAACAGGAGGCAGGAGAGTCCAGTGGGCAGAGGCTGGGCTATGGAGTAGGAGCCACAAGGATCTCTTCCCTGGCATCTCCACCTACAAGCAGTCCCACCAATGGCTTCCTAATCTGTAAAATGGGAAGATGAGGCTCACCTCACCAGGCTGCTGCAGAGATTCAAGGAGACAAGTGATGAACGCAAATCTCTTGTTGCAACTGATAACTGGCATGGAGTGGGCGTTCAGTAAATGGCCGGTTCCTATTCTTTCCCTGGGATCTACTGTCATTCCAGGTGACAAGATACAAGGCCTGCTGGCACAGCCAGAAACTGCCTAATCAGCAATCTGAAGGCAGCAAGTTCAGTGGTTAGAACCCTGAGTCCAGGTCTCTAGTTTGCCTGAATTCATACCCAGACTCTACCATTTACTAGCCCTGTGACCTTGGGTGTGTTACTTAACCTATCTGTGCCCCAGTTTCCTTATATTTGAAGCAAACATTCTAACAGCACCCACTTCGGAGGGGTGGGGAATATTAGATATTAATCCATGGAGCTCAATTAGAATGGTGCCCAGCATATAGTAAACATTCAACAAATGCCAGCAGCCATGATTCTGACCAGCCCCTGTGTGTTCTTGGGCTAAAGGGCAGCTCTGGGCCTTCAGTGGGCTGTTCTACACAGTAAGCCCTCTATTTCCCGGCAGAACCCCAGTCAGATCCTGGAAAGACGGCAATCTCTGCAGCCTGGCTGGGACTGAGTCAGATGAACTGTGGAGGGAGGGCAGTTTCCTACCTGGAGGGTGGGAGGGATTTGAAAAGGATGACGATGACACCTGGAGAACAGCTGGGGTGGCGGTTGGTGTCAGGAAAGTGCATTTTCTCATATACACACACCCTGCTGGTTTCCACGCTTTTTGCAAGTAGAGGCAGGTTATGACTCATTTGAGTGAATGGGCTGTTTCATTTCTGAACGACCCCTGAGTACTTCCCACCTTGATGGAGGGGAGCCCTGGACACAGGCGTCCCGACATGCGGGGGGGGGGGGGGCACTCCATTCTCCCGCTTGTGATAGGGCAGAGGCGCTCTCTTGCCCAGCTAGAGATCTTATTGTTCAAGGTTTGCTTAGAAAACTACGGGAAACGTATTTTACTGGGATGGGGGGAGGGCTGGGAAGAGGGGGAGAGAATGCGAATGAGAAAAGGAAGGAAATGAACAGAGAACAGCTCAGGCGCAGACACACCCATATCCTGTAATCTAAGAATCTCCGAGCCTGGCTGCCGTCTGCTTTCATCCCTGGAACTCCTGGGACCTGCTCGTGGTTAAGCCCACGTCTGCCGTTTAAAGCAAGGGGACGCCACCGTGGTGCGCCAGGCGCCTGCCGCCCGCAGGCTCTGATTGGAGCGGTGGATGGCTGCAGCCCCGAGCCCGCCCCACCCGCCCCGGCGCGTCCCCGGCCCCTACCTGAGCTGGCGCGGCTCGCAGTCCACGCCGGGCAGCAGCAGCCGGGCCGCCTGGCGGACGTCGTCGCTGTCCATGGAGAAGCTGCGGCGGTGGCCGGCGTGCGCCACGGCCACCCGGATCCACTCCATCAGCGGCGGCAGCTCGAGGAAGGGCCTGCAGCGGGCGGGGGATGCGAGTCGTGCTGTGAGGGTGGCGCTCGGGGCTTCCGGCCCGGCCCCACCCTCTGCTTGTGGACCCTCCACCCCCACCCATCCACCCACCCCACTTTCCCTGGAGACCATGCCTCGGAATCCCGCAGAAGTCGTGGGGGAGCCTCTGGAGACATCCCGACCTCACCGGTGACCCCGGGACAGGCTCTCTTGAATCTTTGGGCCTCAGTTTCCTCATCTGTAACACCACGATAGTGTGACTATGAAAAGATTTTGGGTAAATATCCTGCGAATATTCCTCGCAGCGATCATGTGAACACACAGTGATGACTCACTTAAAGCGCCAAGCACAGGGGCTGGAGCGGTGGAAAACCAGTAACTTCTGATATTATTACTTCCTGGGGCTCCTTCGTTTGGGGCTCAAACCCAGGTGTCCTTTAACGTCCCCTTTGCACACCCAGCCTGGTTCCTGCCATCCTTCTGGAAAAAGCATAAAGACGGCCAAGTTGACGGTCAGCTTTCCCAGAGAGCCAGGCTGGGCAGGGGCCCGGCAGTGGCAGCCAGCAACGCTGTGCTCTGGGGACCTCCGTCACACCCCTGAAACTCTGAGAGCTCAGTTTCCTCACCTGCTAATGAAATCACCTTATGTTACTACAAGCATTAACCAAGACAATGCCCACAACTGCACGACAACTTTCTAAGTGTAATACATCCTGCCATCTTGCTATTCAGTGATATAAACTCTGTCCTTACATTAGGATTGCTGGGGGAGTTTTTGAAAAATTCTGATTTAATTGGCATAGGGTGGGACTGGACATTAGTAGTTTGCCAATCTCCCCACTTGAGTTTAATGAATTATCCAGAAGGCTTAAAATACAGATTACTGGGCCCCATCTCCAGAGTTTCTGATTCTGCAGATCACGGGAGATCTGTATTTCTAACCAGTTACTGATACTGATGCAGTTGGTCTGGGGACCGCGCTCAAAGATCTGCTACTCTAATCAGGAGAGGGTCGGGACTTATCTGACAGAGGGTGTGAAGAGGTTGAATGCAGATTCCCTGGCCTTATCTCTAAACATGCTGACTGCGTCAAGTCCCAGAGTATAATTTTAATAAGCAGCCCCTAGGATTATGTGTTAGGTGGACCAAGGACCACACTTTGAGAAACGCACTATGTAGATCCAAAAGGTTTCCTACCATTCAGCAGGTGTGAACGAAGCAAGTAAGGTTCCCTGGGCTCAAAACTGAGGGAGGCCGCATTGTGCAAATGGGTGCTGGGCACCTCTGTTGCCCACCCCAGCCCCGCAGCTGCCGTTCAGTCCAGCACAACTGCTATGGTATGGAAAAGAGGGGTACAAGTAGGTGGGGTTACAAGCTGGCAGCCCCTCTGGGGAATGCAGATGTCATGAGCTTCCCACAAAGTTTTCAGTGGCAGGGGCCAGTTCTCCTAGAATAAGCCCAGAGTCAGATCTATTTATCTGATGTTAATAATATTCAACAGCTCAGCCTTTTACATTTGTTTCTGTTACTTTCATTCATGATGTCATCTGAAGGCTTCCGCCCAACCTTCAGGCTAGTCAGGATGATACCCATTTTATAGATCAGAGAATAAGGTTTACCCAGCTTAACTCTCATGCCCTGGATCACAAGGTTAGCAAGCATGAAAGCTGACAGTCAGATCCAAGTTATCCCACTGCAAAGCCTAAGAGCTGTGCCCCCAGGAGATACTGACACGCTCTGGTCCAGCTTCCCAGCGTGCAGCTTGTTACTGAGCCATGCACCTGTTGCCCCAGAGACGCTGATGTGGTCATTGATCCTGGGTGGCACACCTCATTTAGTCCTGCTTATGCAGCTCAGCCTCCCGTCTCTGAGACCTCCACACCCCACTTAATCTTCAAGCCACAGTGCAAGACCACGCCACATGGACCCCTTCCATTGTGGACCTCACCTGCTGGCCCTGCAGGTGCCCTGTTAGGACGTTAAGGTCCACAGGATACAGAACTCAATGCTTTGTTTATGGCTCTGGTCGTAGCCCCAGGATAGTGCCTGGCAGACTTGGGCACTTAATAAATATTTGTACATGACACGGACTAAGATTTACCAATTTCTTACTGGGTGAAACAGATAAAATTGAATTTCTGGACCCATGGACTTCTCAGGGGGAGGCAGACTCCCAGGGAATTTCTGCCTGAATCCGCCTGCTGCTTAGCCTGTCTCCCTCATTCTCTCATTCCCTCCATCACCTAAACTGAATCAGGCACTCAATAAACACACCCTGACTTGAAATTGAATTGGATTCTACTTGGCTCAGGTGAGCAGGACTTATTTTTGTCACTGTGTCTCCAACACGGTTGGAAACCAGGACCAAAGGCTTAGAGAACTCTCCTCTGGGTTGGTTTCAGAGGTTCCCCTCCCCCGCCCCCTACATCATTTCTTTGCTCAGTGGCCCCACAGCACAGCCCACAACCCTAGTCCCCAGGGGGCCGCGTCTCCAACATAGAACTGCCCTTCGGCTGCTGCCTTTAATGTTAGATGCCAAGCAAGGCCCAGGGCATCCAGCCAGCGCCTGGTGAATACTGAGGAGGAGCAGAAAGGGACTCTGCTGCCTTCCAAACAATACCTTTACCAAGGCAGCTGGCAAGCCCCAGAATGAGAAACCTTGAACCCCAGGATTCCAGCCTCTTCTGGAATTTTCTATGTACCTATTCTCTCTTTTCAACATTGCCTTCTTTTCATCACTCTGACCTTAATAGTTTATAAGCTCATGAATTCTTTGCCAGCAACTCATTTAAAAATCTTATCTTGTCTACTCAGAGGGGGAAAAAGAGCATGATTTGTGATATTTTCTTTGGAGTGGAGCTGGGAAAGGATTCTAGGGCCTTGTGCCAAGGAGAGGGTAGAAGATGCTGAGGAGAAAAATATGGCATCCTCCTCCTATATTTTTTGAGAAAACAATGTTCCCCTGGCGGCCTATTTTATGCTGAAGTTGTTTATGGTGATTAAAGGCTAGAAGAAGCTTGAGGGGCTCACGGTTTAGTGAAATGGTTCTTAGGCTTTGTTGAACACCAGAATCAGGTAAGAGTCTTGTTAAAATGTCAAAGGCTGTGATTTTGGTTCACAGGTCTTGGGGCAGGGCATGGGCATCTGCCTTCTAAATAATCTCTCCTGGGAATTCTGGAGCAAGCCAGGTTTGTTAACCCCTGACTAGGTGTCTTGAGAAGAACAGAAGAGGGAGATGTCAGTGTAAGCAGGACTGTGGTCATGGGACTCATCACCAGCGTGAGGGGAGATGTGTGGGGTGGGCCCAAAGGCTCTGAAGGGAAGAGAAAGCCTGGATGGCCTTCTTGCAGGGTTGAGCCAGCAAGTCAGCTCAGGAAGGCAGTTGAGGCCTGACTGAGATAGAAGATGGAGTGCATTAACAGGTGTGGCCTTTCTCCTAAATGGTGACAAGAGAGCTGGTGATGAGGGTGACCACCCAGGATCAAAGGTTTTGCCATGTGTGATAGCTCACGCCTATAGTCACAGCTAATCAGGAGGCTGAGGCAGGAGGATAGAGCCTAGAAGTTTGAGGCTGCATGTCAGGTGAAAGAATGAGACCCTGTCTCTCTTTAAAAAAAAAAAAAAAGCATTTGGCTGGGAGTTTGGGTACTAAAAGGGATTTAGGGTATGAGGACAAGCCTGCTTTGGGAGTCTGCTGGACTGAATTCCAGTTCTGGATACGCCAGAAAGTAGCTGTGGGATTCTGGTCTATAAATGTTTTGGCCATTAAAGTCTTCATCTGTAAAGCAGGGTGGGTTTGGATCAGATGGTCAGCAAACCTTTTTGTAAAGGGCCAGCTAGTAAGTGTGGCAGGCTTTGTGGGCCATGTGTTCTACTACTTAACTCTACTGTTGTAGTGAAAAAGCAGCCAGAGACAATACACAGTGAATGAACCTGGATGTCTGTTCCAATAAAACTTTATTGGCAAAATCAGATGGTAGAAAAGAGTTCACTGCCACTGGTCTGTTTGGTTTTCTAATTCTTTTGTTTGTTTGTTTTTGTTTTCTTGAGTCAAAGTCTTACTTTATCACCCCTGGTAGAGTGCCATAGCATCATAGCTCACAGCAACCTCAAACTCTTGGGCTCAAGTGATCTTTTTGCCTCAATTTTTGATTTTCAGTAGAGATAGGGTTTCACTCTTGCTCAGGCTAGTCTAAAACTCCTGGGCTCAAGCAATCCACCTGCCTCTGCCTCTCAGAATATTAAGATTACAGGTGTTAGCCATACCCAGCCTGATTTTACTGGAAAATCCAGCTGCCTAGGGTCTTAGGAAGGGTCCAGCTATGGCCCTGGGAAGAGGAGGAGAAGACTTTGAAGGTCCTAGAGATGAGGACACAAAGCATTGGGGAAATTAGAAGGTAGGACCCTCGCACAAAGAGTACCTGGTTGGATTGGGGGCATACTGAGCCATAGGCATATCCAGAAGTACATACGTCTTAAAAGATAAAACCTAAGACCTGGCCATGGTCATCATAACTGATGAAATGTCACCTATTAATGCCACTTACTCCTCTAATGATCATTTAGAGAGCACCCAGATTCCAGGGGCTGGGGACAAGGTAGAGAACAGGACTTACCAGGTCCCCATTCTCACAGAGCCAACAGTCTAAGAGGGAGACAGATAAGATACAAATCAACAAGGAATAAAGCAATGACAAGTGGTGATCAGTGCCAGGGTACTGGGACCGAGAGTAAACAGCTGTGTGAGGAAGTGATAAAACCTCAACCATGTGAAGGACTGGGCCATTTGTAAATGTCTATGTAGGACATTTACAGGCAGCAGGAACAGACTGTGCAAAGGCCCCGTGGTAGAGAAGACCTTGACAACTCACCAAGGGCTTTCACCTGCATCAACTCCTATTCAGCTCTCCAGAGCTGGAGTGGAGACAGGACCCTTGCTATTGGTTAAGGAATAGCCCCCGGAGAAGACAGGGTGTTTTCCCTGGAGCCTATGAATGTTGATGG